TGCCCCTTGTCCTGTTGCTGGGCACCACTGAAAAGAGCTTGGCCCCATCCTCCTGACACCCACCCTTCAGATATTTGTAGGCATTTATAAGGTCCCCTCGCAGCCTTCTCTTCTTCAGGCTGAACAAGCCCAGTTCCCTCAACCTCTCCTCGTAGTGGAGATGCTCCAGTCCCCTCACCATCCTTGTAGCCCTCCGCTGGACTCTCTCCAGTAGCTCTTCATCTTTCTTGAACTGGGGAGCCCAGAACTGGACACAGTACTCCAGATGAGGCCTCACCAGGGTAGTGTAGAGGGGAAGGAGAACCTCCCTCGTCCTGCTGGCCACACTCTTCTTGATGCACCCCAGGATCCCATTGGCTTTCTTGGCAGCCAGGGCACACTGCTGGCTCATGGTTAACCTGTCGTCCACCAGGACACCCAGGTCCCTCTCTGCTCTCCAGCAGGTCCACCCCAAGCCTGTACTGGTGCATGAGGTTGTTCCTCCCCAGGTGCAGGACCCTGCACTTGCCCTTGTTGAACCTCATCAGGTTCCTCTCTGCCCAGCTTTCCAGCCTATCCAGGTCACGCTGAATGGCAGCACAGCCTTCTGGTGTATCTACCACACCTCCCAGTTTGGTGTCGTCAGCAAACTTGCTGAGGGTACATTCTAACTCTTCATCCGGGTCGTTGATGAAGAAGTTAAACAAGACTGGGCCCAGTACTGACCCCTGGGGGACACCACTTGTCACCAGCCTCCAACTAGACTCAGCGCCGCTGATGACAACCCTCTGAGTTCTGCCATTCAGCCAGTTCTCTATCCACTTCACCGACCAAATGCTTGTATTTTTCTCCAGTGTTCAAATGGATCATGTTCTGTGTTCTAATAAACCCAGTATCTTTGAAACGACGGAAGCTGGTTTCAGTTAGGAAGGTCTGGGTTTTTCCTCTGGGACTTGCACTTGGAGAGCTTGCTAAGGCTAGGTTTGCTTGGGAATCGCTAAAGACCAGACAATAACACTGACGGATAGGTATGATGTCTTCCTTCTGGGACACTTCTTACTGCTGTCTTGAAAACTATAAAGCAACAAATATTTAATGAAATCAAGAAAGAG